TCTGCTCTATTTGAAAAGTGTCCTGGAGATAACTTCTGTTATGAATTGGCGCTATACAAATAAAATTGAATTGAATTGAATTGAATTACAACTACAATATAATGTATTTGTGGAACATTTCTACATTTGTTTGTTAAAAGAGGAAAATCTGAGATCCTGTCAGTGTAACTTTATTTCTACCTCTGCCTCTACTGATAGTTAACCATTTGATCCTCCTTGTTGGTATTGGAGTCAAAGTCATCATTGTGCTGTTGCTTACACTGGCCGTTATCTGGGCATGGTAAGTTAAGTTACATTCAACACTGGACATTGTTAATTTGATTATGAAGAATTTAATGTACAAACTTCTCTTATATCATTGTTAAAGGAGGCATAAATGTAGTTCTGCTGTGGACAAAGAGGTAAGAAGACTGCAGCTCTGTTTAAATAAAGAAATTACAGCGTCTCGCAAAATATCTAATGTTGCCTTGTTATGTTTCAGGACAACAGCCCTGAATATGAAAACATCAGCCCTGCCTATATGGGTCAAAAAGACACGGTTACACAGAAGGAAATGACTGTTTAAAGAAACTAGAGAAGCATGATGACATTTCATGACTTCACACAAGGATATCTCTGGTCTGTTACAGAGCTCAACCAAAAAACTGCTGGAGTTACACTTGAAGAGTTTGACTCCCTGATTCCTGTCTGTGTAAATGCTCCGTCCTTCTCATGACTCCCTGTAACACTGGAGACACAAGGGTTACGAACTGTAACATTATCAAGAAAACTGAGGCCCAGTAGCTCACCTGGTAGAGGTGGTGTGGCCCTTTGCTGTGTGTCATCTCCTCTGTCTATCTCTCCTGTCTATCTTCTGCTGTCCTACTATTCTATACTGATGTTTCATCAATGAAATACCCACAACCATGCTGTTACTAAATTAAGCTATTTTTATCTGTTTTGAATATAGCCCCTCTTGCTATGATTACAGCAGTGATAATAGTCGTAACAATTCTATTATTATTGTCTGTAGTTTCTGGTCTGAAAATATTGTTGCAGAACATTTTTCACTGGAGTGACTGGTTTTCTACTGGTACAGCAGACTGAATCCAGAATCACTGTGGTCAAATCAGGATATGCTGCCCCCTTGAGTTACAAATTCTCATCGTTTTTGTAAACTTGTAAATGCTTCAGTCTATCAACTTATCAGTAGTATTTCTTTTATTGACCTTAACCATAACCTTAAAAAACCTTCCGGAGGTTGGTTTTCCGATTTCATTTAAAACAGATTTTATTTTCAGTTGTAACAGAAACAACATACAACAGCATAGCGTTTATTGGGTCAATGCATTTAAAAAGTTGTTTTATACTGTAAAAACCAGCATATCATGTCTAGACCACACTGTGAAAAAGTCATGTAAATCAGGTGGTGTTGCCATTCAACCCTTACTCCTTGTTGCATTCGCAGCAGTCGCTCTATGGGCCCAAATAAATGCTGGCTGCTGTAACAACTGTATAGATTATTGTTGTTGTATAACACATATTGTGACGCCCTCTTGTTAATCATCACACTGATTATTTTTTTATTGTTTTGCTAAGCAATAAACTCTTTCTTGTTTCCAAGGCATGTTTCAAGCGTTGGAAAATACAAAAACATATTACATATTTTCTTAATCTTGGTATCGCTTTGCTATATACAATACATTTAGAACAAATCTCAGATGACATAAACTGTAGCTTACAAAAGTTTGTGAAATTTGAAGCTCAGTATGTATAATGGAATCAGCTTTCCAATATGGCCACCACTAATTGCCTGTATTTCCAGTTACAACATCCTAAAAATTTAAGAAATGTACAGTAAATGGAACAGAACAGAAACAGCTATTAAAGTAGTGTGCGCATACGCAAAACTGAGCATGCCCTTTATATTTTTAAAGGACCAGTGTGTAGGATTTATTTAGTTTATTTAGTTGCATCTAGCGGTGAAGTTGCAGATTGCAACCATTTGAATACAGCTCAGCCTTTCAAGAGTGTAGGAGAAACTACGGTGGCTGCAAAACTCATGAAAAACACAAATGGCCCTGTCTACAGCCAATGTTTGGTTTGTTCTGGGCTACTGTATAAACATGGCGGTTCAACATGGCTGACTCCACAGAAGAGGATCCACTCCCTCTGTAGATAAAACCTCTCAGTCTAAGGAAACGAAAACACAATCATTCTTATTTTCAGGTTATTATACGCTAATGAATACATACCTATAGATATTATTTTCCATTACTGCCAATAGAGCTTCCTAAATTTTACACACTCGAACTTTAATCAGCATTTAAAAATAGAAGATGTGTGCACCACTTTACTCAACTATTCTCACTTTAATACGATAAAGCTAAATTCTAAAAATAGACTAATGAGATGAATATCCAAGTGCATTTTGTAAATCAGTGCCCTTGTTACAGAGTCACTGTCCTCTTGGTTTTCATCCTCCTCCACTTCACCACAGGCTCTGTTCTGTATCTGTTAGAGCCTTATCACACTAAAGAGTTTACTCAAAACCACACAGATGTGACCAAGTCCCGACTGCTGACAGCTTTTAATTGGATCATTATTACTGTATTTTTTTCTTCAGTGTTGTCTGTTTTTGGACATTGCTTATACAGTATGTGGGGCACTATGTAATGTGCTGTTAAAATCCAGCCAAAGTATCAGTACTAACAACAACTCCAGATGTCTCTGGAGTTTTCATATGTGATGAACCGTGGAGGGTGTATTCAAATTCACATCCGCCACTGCAACAGCAAGAACAAAGTAGAGGGTTAATTCCTGACTGTATTATCCCACAGCACAACAGCACTTAAACAAACAGAATACAAATACACCCACACGTTTGCTTCACTTCACAACGTCAATTTTAAAATCAAGCAGTTACTCTCTTAAAGCCCAAGTCAGCCAAGTTTATCCTCATTCAGCTCAGTGCATGGAAATCTAGGAGGGTTTTCAGTGTTGTGTCCTGGTTGCTTGGATGTACAGTAATGTCTGTCACATGATCTTCAGGTTCTCACAGCGCTGCCATCATCAGTCTTGGAAAAGTTCTTCTTCTGTGTACATGATTTCAGTCATTAAGCAAAATGTCTACAAAATGTGCTACAGCATGTGATGCAATACTAGTTTTGGGTGTCTATTGGGTTTTTGGTGGTTGTAGGATGTTTGTACTTTGTGCGGAATAAGTCCAGGTCTTAAGGTGCTGTAGCAGTTGTCTCGGTGAGGACATACGACCGGTGTCTGGATGTCTTCCGTCTCCTGAAAGGATAAATAATTAATCAAAAACAGTGACACATTATAGGCATTTAATTGCTGACATCTAGACTGGATTATTCAAATAGTCCAAGCAACAACCAGTGAATGAATGCTGTTATAAATAATGCTTCAGGTAGCGTCAGACACAGTAGCATTTCTTGTTAATGTAATGGATTAAATTATTTTACTTATATTGTCCACCAGTCTAATAATAACTAAAACTTCACAAGATTATAAGAGGAAAGAGAAATATAACAGTAAAATATAGACTTATCATGATACAGATCAGCTGTAAGAGAAGCAAAGAACTCACCTTGTTACAAGACAGGCCACTAAGGCTACAATAGCTAGTAGAATACCAATGGTCACCCCGATAAACACCAGTCTGCTTCCTGAAGAGTCAGACGGGGTCATTGCTGTAGTGGACAGAAGCAGGATGAGAACTTACTGTTGGTCAAACTGTGTCAGGCAGTAGTTCTTTATACAATGTGCAAGTGGATGGCTGCTGTGGACCTGCTTCATTTGATCGCAGGTCGCTCATTTAAAATTAAAACAATGATTTGTGTTTTAGGAAAAATATTTGAACTTAATATTGACTGGACAACGTCATGGGTGTTTCTGTTGCAATGACGGAGATCAGGATAAGTAGGTTGTCAAATTAAGTTGCTTGTAAAACACAATGTTTAGCCTCACAACCTTGAACTGTGGTGGGTGTAGTAGCTCTGGTGGCAGTGAGTCAGCCATTAACTGCACAACTGGTGGTTCAATCTCCTTCCATCCACATATCCAAATGTGTCAAAAAGACATTAAACCAAAAATTTATACATTGGGGAAGAATTCAACCCGTTGTTTTTTAATACCCTGGTGGCCGAACAGATAAATAATTTTGCTTTGCTAAGGGTAAAGTCACTGTCAAAGATGATTGTGTACAGTATTTATGAGTCACCCCTATTATGCCTAGCTTATTCAGTTAGTTAGTTAATATGTTTTGTACTAATATTTGCTAATTTACTCAAAACCCTGCAAACACTCTGAATATTTGGTGTTACTCTGGGTTTTCTGCAGGAACATGGTTGCCACTGAAAACTGCAGAACTCACTTCTGTGAATGACAAGCTCTTCATTAACTTACCTTTAGAGCTTATGAGTGTTACAATGTTAGTCTGTGATCCATGTCTGTTGCATGCCACACAGCAGTGCAGCCCATATTCCTCAGCGGTGATGTTGGCACTGCTGAATGTCGGGCCTCTTCCTGTGGGCGTAGCCAGGGCTTGTCTGCCTGGATGAAAGGTTTTGTCTGATGTAGAGAAACACGCTTCTCCCTGGTACCAGGTGTATGTGAGGACAGGTGGGTTAGCATCGCTGCTGCAGGTCAGAGTCACAGGAAGACTGTCCTGTAGTTCTCCAGCAGGAGAGATTGAGATCAGTGTGTTTTGAGGAGAGTCTAAACAACAACGAGATGAAAGGTCAGTTACCCCTGGCTTCAAGTCACATGAGATGCTGAAACATTGACTGCTTTTAACCCAGTTATCAAACTAAATTTTAACCCAGTTATCAAACCAAATTTTAACCAAGTTATTAAAACAAATTTTAACCCAGTTATCAAAACAAATTTTAACCCAGTTATCAAACCAAATTTTAACCCAGTTATCAAACAAAATTTTACGGGGATGTTTCTTAAGAATTTCTCAAGAACAGAGAATTTACTTGTGAAATGCTGTCAGCAGCACCTTACTTGTTATGTAAATGTTAAAGCCAAAATTTCTTAAATGTACTTCCTTCTTTACTTCTGCTTTTTTGGTTACATGTATGACAGAACAATTTGCTGATGAGATGAATGAATGGATAAATAAAGCAATGACTTTGTAGGTGTCTGTTTATCCTCTCTCAGATATTACTGTATATTCGTACACAGTATAGGGTTATAGTAAAGTATAGACTTTAGTTCAGCATTCAACACCATAATCCCACAACAACTCATCTGTAAACTGGACCAGCTGGGGCTCAACACCTCCCTTTGCAACTGGCTGCTGGACTTCCTCAGTGAGAGGCCACAAGCAGTACGAGTCGGCAACAACACCTCGAGCAGCATCA